GCCGTCGAAAGAGGCACACTGTCCACCGCGCTGCGGTGGCCGTCGGAAGAAACACCACGCGCCGCCACTGGCGGCTCGGTGTTTGCCGGCACCACTGGGGGCTCGTAGCCGAGCAGTTCGTCCAACCAGCGAGTTCCGCTGCCTCTGCCGCATTCACCACCACGTCCCCTATCTCTGATAGGGAGACGGCGGCTTCATAGATGGCGGCCCGCTGGGCCTCCGGCACTGCACTGAGCGCCTGCAGCATCTGCTCATTTGTCGGGTTCGCCATCGCTGAAGGCAGACAAAGGCTTCCGCTGAAAGCGGGGTTGTGTGGGCACGGGGGGGGCGACTTACTAAGCTGAAAAGGCTGCGGTATGAAAGCACTGCTTGAGAACCGACACGGTTTAAGAAGCTGACTCAGCTGAGGAGGCCTACCAGGCTCGCGTGACACACGACTGATAAAGGCTAGCGGCGATTTTTTGCCGCCATTCAAAGCATGCCGTCGGCCCGCCGCTGTGGGCGAGGTTCCAAGTACCTCAGAAACGCCCGCCCTGAAGAGGCTGCCGGGCTGTCGGCGGTGAACCAAAAGGAGGTGCACTGCACCGACGAAAGGGCGACTCGCTGAGAGGCCAGCAGCTACCCGCTGCACTCAGTGCCTAACGACGGCCGCCCCTGACGCCGCGGTTTCGGGGTCGCTGACCCCGGCTGCTGCGATAGCAGTTGTCGCATTCGTGATGATTGTGGGGGCTCCTGCCCACTGAGCAGTGCCGCCCACAAATCGCCATGCCCTGGGAGAGGCAGCCCTGCTGCGCGCAAGGCATGCAACACATGAGGTCGCCGCGCCTCTCCGGGTATCTCTCCCATCTCTCTGAGTTGGGGGTTGCCCAGTAGGGCCATTCGTGCACGTCTGTGACGTGCAGGTGCGGCGAGACCCTTCTGGCGTGCGTTACTAACGCACGCAGGCCGGGGTACCTGTTGTCGGTCGCTGACCCGAGGTTACGCCAATCGTTGTTTTGGGGGTCCTCCCCAGGCTGAAACTGCCAGCCTCGCTGGCGATTGCGACGCTGCGCGGCCGCAGCGGGCTGGGCAGGGGCGGCCGCTGGCGGCGGCAAGGGAGGGTCCGAGGCTGATGCCGACGCTGTCGGCAGAGCAGTGCTGGACGAGGCGGTGGGGTCGGTACTGCCACTGGCAGCTTTGTGTGTCTTTTTCTTTTTCTTCTCCGAAGGGAGAATCTTGACCCAACCGCCTTTGCCCTTGCCCTTACCCTCTGGGTGCCAATGGAAGCCGCTGGCTTCAACCTTAGGAGCAACGTGGCCCTCTAGGGCGTCCACCCAATTGAGTCTCCACTGGAGCTTGGGGACATTATCTTCCTCCCCACTGGGGGGCCAGTCAAAAAGGCCGGTATACGGCCAGCCAGGCGTGGCCGCTGGCCGCATAGGCACGTCGCGCTGCGACATAGTATACCGGTGCATCGGGTAGGCACTGCCTGAGGTGTCCGGTTGTTCCCCTTGCATCTGAGCAAAAGGGTAGAAGGGAGGCCAAACTTTGGACTCTCCTTCCCCCGCTCGATTCAGAGCTTCGTGGTCGTCGCTGACGACCGCGGGGTCTACCCGCATGGCACAGCTAAGGGCCCAAAGGAGATAACTTATCTCCTGTTGTGCCATTTCTTCACGCATGGCCTGCTCTAGCACAAAAATTGGATTGCACTGCAAAAAGCGGAGGCAGGAGCGACACTGTCGCACGCGTTGCAGGCATTGTGGCGCTGCCAACTGATTGTCTCGACCGTCCCTTCTAGGGTACGGCGCCTCTGGCGACTCAGCCGCATACGTGCGGGCTGCTTGGTCAACCATAACTGGCACTGACAGTTATATCAAAGGGAGTGGAAAGTCGTCGCTGACGACCCCCACTGCTGCGGAGCACTACAAGCTACTCTACAAAAACTTTTTGGATCACAGATCCAACTCCAAGCCGAAAGCTGCACGGCAAAGTATGTCTAGTGTCACTCACACACAAGTGAAAACACTGTTTTCCTTTTTCGACAAACTTTGTCTGCACTTTCGGCGGAAAATAAAACCCATTCACGCACGCATGATGGATGCAAAAACAATCTCTGGTGGTGGGGGGGGGAAAGAAACAACTTAGCGACGACCGAGCGGCTTAAGGAGACGGGTGGCCGAGCCGCGAGTCGGCGGCGGGCTGCGACGGCGCAGCGACGGGGAGGCGACGAGGGCGAGCGGAGAACGGGCAACTGCCGGGTGTGCCCTCACAGGTCAGCCCCCTCGACGACACACGGTGAAGCGACGACGACGACGCGGCGAGGAGACGACGATGCGGCGACGACGACGCGACGGACACGACGACGGAGACGCGGCGATGGCTCAGAACCGCGTTGCCCCAAATGTTTGCCCAGAGCCGGCGTTACCCAGAGCCGCGTTACCGAAATGTTGCCACCGAAACGTTGCCACCGAAATGTTGCCACCGAAACGTTGCCACCCAAACTCCAGTCTCTGTTTGCGCCCCTCCAGTTTCACGCCAGCCTCCACCAGCCTCAGCCTCCAGGCCCTGCACCTTGGGTGCTTGCGGGCGGATGAACATATCGAGCCGCACGGCGGAGGTGCATCCTGCGCGGGGAATGGCGACGAGGACGGCGACGAGAACGGCGACAAGACGCGAGGTGAGGATAGAGGTGAGGAGAGAGATGCGGCGACGCGGGAACGGCGACGATGTGGCGACGACACGGCGCGACGACGCGACGATGCGGCGACCACGACGCTGCGACGACGAGACGGCGGCAATGACGACAGCGGCGACGACGGTGCACCGAGGAAGGGGTGGCCGAGCCGCGTGTGAGCGGGTGGATGAGCGACGAAGCGACGACGACGGAGCGACGACGACGACGGCGCGACGACGACGACGGCGACGCAGAGCCGAGTCATGCACCCAAAATGTTAGCCCTATGTTCCCCCCGAGCCGCGACGGCGCGGGTGCGGGCAGCGGCGACGACGACGACGCAGGGACGACGACGGTGAGGATAGGCGAGGATAGAGGTGAGGATAGAGTGGCGACGACGATGTGGCGACGACGACGGCGCAGCGATGACGACGCGACGACGACGCGGCGACGCACAGACGACGAGCGGCGACCGGGGGGCGCGCGACGAGGACGACGGGCGACGGCGAGCGGGCGCTCGGCGGCGACGCTCGAAGGCTCGACGGTCGGCTTCGGCTCGGACGACGACGACGCGATGACTGGGCAGCCGCGAGAGCGGGCGACGGCAGGGGCGGGGTGCAACGAAGGGCGACAACGACTGCGGCGACACGACTGCGACCACGAGTGGCGGGCGGGGTGGCGACGACCGCGGCCGGGACGTATAGCGGAGACAACGGCGCGGAAACGACGGCGACGGCTCACTAATGTTGGCGCGGGGCGGCGACGACGGCGACGACGGCGGCGACGCAGGCCGACCCGGCGACGACGCGTGGGCCAGGTGGGCGTGGCAGCGACGAGCAGGGGCGGCGACGCGGCGACGATGCGGCGACGAGGCGCAGGAACGATGAGGCGACGACGCGACGACGACCGCGAAGATGATGAACCGGCAACGACGACGGCGCGGGGACGATGGCGCAGAGACGACGGCGCGACGGCGGCGCAGAGACGACGGCGCAGAGACGACGGCACGACGGCGCGGGTACGACGGCGCGACAGCGCGGCAACGACGGCGCGACGACGTGGGGAGCGGAGACGACGACGTGGGGACGCAGATGACGGCACGGCGGCAGGTGCATGGGCGAGGGCTAGGTGCTCCGAAGAGTGTGGCGACCACGATGTCGGCGTCGATGACGCGACGCGAGCGGAGACGACGGCGACGACGAGGCGGGGCACCGGAGCTATCCTCACTCCGATCCTCACTTCCCGACTACCCGATCCTCACGTCGATCCTCACTCAGATCCTCACCCTGTTTTCCGAAGAACCACCCCAGCACAACAAGCAGCTCACCGAGCGCAGGCAAGAGGAGGAGAGGGGGAGGCGCGGCGGAGGATCGAGAGTACGGAACCGCCAGACGCTGAGCCTAAAGCGAGACTCACCCAGTCCTGCTGTCAGGCAGCAGTCCGGGCCCAGGCATGTTTGTGTTGGTTCGGACGGCGAGTGGTGACGGGTGGAGCGGCTCGGCGGTTGCGGCGAACCGGCTGACGACGACGACGGCGATGCGGCTGGGACGATGAGGCGACGATGGGAACGGGACGCGGCGACGACGACGCGACGACGTTGCGACACCGTCCAAAACAATGGGGTGAGGACGAGACGCGGCGACCACGGCGTGCCACGGCGAGCTCGGGCAGAGCATATGGAGGTAGAGGCGCCGACGCGGCGACGATGATGCGACGACGCGGCGACGACGAGGCACGACGACGACGACGACGACGAGGACGCGGACGACGAGGACGAGGCGACGACGATGACTGGTGACGCAGCGACGACAGTCTCTGCAGTCTCCAGGTCTCTCACCTCGCTGCCGAGTGCCCAGAAACCCTCACAGTCCTGCAGCCCCCAGCCTCGCCCTCGCTGCACCAAGCCCTCACAGTCGCTGCAGGTCCAATCGGTGAGGTGCATCACTGCCCTCACAGCGGCCAGAAGCAGGTGCCCAACGGATGCCCTCGCTGGGTGCTTGCTGCCTCACTCCTGACCCAAGCCGGGTGAGGATGAGCGAGGCGAGGATAGAGGCGAGGAGAGAGGTGAGGATAGCGGGTGAAACCGCGGCGGACAAGGTGGGGATACCGTGGGGCGATACCGCGGGGATGCCGTGCGGCGATGACGAGGCGACGACGACGACGAGGCGACCATGAAACGACGAGGCGACGACCGGCGACGGCGACAGCGGCGGCCATATGGCGCAACGGCGACGATGCGGACGACGACGACGCGATGACGATGCGACGACGACGTGACGACGCGACGACGACGCGGCGGCGACAACGCGACGCGGGCAGCAGGTGCAGGACCGGTGCCTTGCTGGTGCATGACCCAACTCGCGAGTGCGCGGGTGACGGGTGCACAGCAGGTGCACGACAAGGTGCCTGCCAAGGTGCACGACGACAAGGTGCGCGACAAGGCACGACACGGCGGCACGCGGCGTGGGCGGCGCGGCGCGGCGCGGGACAAACATGCACACGGCACGACACGACATTCCAGTCTGGAGCGAGAGGAGAACACGCGCGCAGAAGGGCACGGCGACGTGTTCGGAAGTGGAGCCCAGGTGCCACCCCACGCAGGTGCCATCCCCACCCGTGCAAAGGTGACGCGGCAACGACGACCACGTGGCGGGATGCGACGACGAGGCGACGCGGAGGGGTGAGGCGAGGACGGGCGACGATGGCGCTGCTGCGGCAGGTGCAGGCCGGCGACGACGCGATCGCGACGGGGCCGAGTGGTGGCGGCGACGACCGAGGCGGGACGACGAGGCGGGGACGACCTCACGACGGCTCGGCGACGACGCGCGACGACGGGACGGTGAACGGGGCACACCTGACCTGACGACGACCCATTTACCGGTCGTGCTTCTGCAATGTTCTGCCCAAATTGGCCCGGCCTCCCACCCTCCTGTCTCCCCAAACCCTCCACGTCCTGCAGCCTTCAGGCGCCTTCAAAGTCGCTGCAGGCCAAGCCCCCCATCAGAGTCGCCTTCACAGCTTGCAGCCCCCACTTCACAAATCCCACAGTCGCTGCCACCCTGGCGGCCACCCTCGCCTGCCACCCTCGCTGCGGCCCCCACATACCCTCACTGTCACTGCAGTTCAGGCCAGGCCCATCCCTCACACTTGCTGCCAAATGTCCAGCTGCCCTCGCTGCCGCATCGCTGCAGCACTCACACTGCACCCCTCACTTCCGCCAGCCAAAAAGTTTGAGTATTGTGGGCACGACGTGGGCAGGGGATTGTTGGGACGACGACGTGGGCGTGGGGACGACGACGTGGGGACGACGACGTGGGGACGACGACGACGACGATGCGACGACGAGCGGCGGTGACGAGTGCGGGGGTAGCAGGTGCATCACAGCTGCATCACAGGTGCATCAAACAGGGCGGTGGCAGTGCGCGGGACCAGGTGCAAGACCGGTGACGCGGGGCCGACAGAACGACAACACGGCAACTCAGTATGTGCATACGATACGGCGCGGCGCGACGGTCACCAGCCCCCCCAGCCCTCCCTCACGGGCCTCACCGCTCCCCGAGGACAACGCTGTAGAGGGACGAGGCGACGACGACGCGACGACACGACGCGACGGCGCGACGACCGTCACAATCGCTGCAGCCCCCAGCTCCCTCACAGTCGCTGCAGGTCCAGGTGCCTTGGCAATCTCGCTGCTGAATTCCCTCGCTGCCGCTCGCTCCAGCACGAGGTCCCCTCATTCCCCGCTGCCCTCACACAGCGGCCAGGTGCCCCTCACAGCAGCCCAAATCCCCACCTCCCTCACCTGCCTCACTGCTTCCTGGAAGAGGATGGGTGAGGATAGCGGTATAGGAGGACGATGCTGAGACGACGGTGGGGATTCCGGTGAGGATAGAGGCGGGGACGGATGACACGCAGCACGACGACAAGCGCTGGTGGTGAGGGTTGGGGGGTGGGATAGAGGCGGGGACGGATGACACGACGTGCTGCCCTCACAGTCGCTGCTGCCTTCAGCTCAGCTCAGCCACCCCCTCGCTGCAGTGCCCAGGCCCTCACAGAAGCTGCAGCCCCCAGGCGCCACTGCAGCCCCAGACTCGCCGCAGTGCCCCAAGCCCTCGCGGTCGCTGCAGCCCCCAGCTTCGCTGCAGCGTGCCAGTCGCTGAAGCCGCCTCACGGGTTTCAGGTAGAGGTGCTGGGGACGGGGGGGGTGAGGTGGTGAGGGTTGCGGCGGTGAGGATTGCGCTGAAAATAGCGGTGAGGATAGAGGCCACTGCGCGACGACCAGCACTGGTGGTGAGGGCCGGGGGGTGAAGATAGCTGTGGGATAGAGGCGAACACACGACAGCGCGACGACCAGCACTGGTGGTGAGGGCCGGGGGTGAGGATAGAGGCGGGGACGGATGACACGACGCGGCGACGACATGACGAGGCGACGACGCGACGACGACGACGACGGCGATGACGCGGCGACGACGAGGCGACGACGCGACGACGACGACGACGACGAGACGACGACGACGCGGCGACGACGACGACGCGACGAGGACGACGACGCGGCGACGACGACGCGACGAGGACGACGACGCGGCGACGACACGGCGGGACGACGAGGCGACGACACACAATGTTGCCACCGAAATGTTGCCACTGAAATAATGCCACCGACATGTCCACCGAGGCGGGGCGAGGCAGGGACGACGACAGCCTCGCTGCCGCTGCCCTAAGTGCCCTCACAGTCGCTCTCACCTCAAAGTCGCTGCAGCCCCCAAATGCCCTGCAACCCCCCAGCCTCGCTGCAGTGCCCGGGCCCTCACAATCGCTGCAGTGTTCGGCCTCGCTGCAGCGAACCAGGTTCTGACAGTCGCCCTCCATCACGGGTTTCAGGTGGAGGTGCTGGGGACCCGACGACCAGCACTGGTGATGAGGGCCGGCGAGGATGGCGGTGAGGATAGCGGTGAGGATAACGGATGACACGACTGCGCGCCGACCGTGAGGTTCCGGTGAGGATGGGCGGGGACTGCATGACACGACAGCACGCCGACCAGCACTGGTGAGGGCTTGGGGGGTGAGGATAGCAGTGAGGATAGAGGTGAGGATAGCGGGGACGGATGACACGACTGCACGACGACCAGCAGTGCACATGGTGGTGAGGGCCAGGGAGTGAGGAGAGGGGCGGTGAGGAGGATTACGGTTAGTGAGGATAGCGGTGATGACAGAGACGGGGACGGATGACACGACTACGCGACGACCAGACTGGTGGTGAGGGCCGCGGGGTGAGGATTCCGGTGGGGATAGGGGCTGGCTTTTGTGGATACCCGTGTGGAGACATTTGTGACGGCACGGCAACAACGACGCGACGACGACGATGCGACGACGATGCGACCCCGATGCGACGCGACGACGATGCGACACGACGATGCGGATGCGGAGGCGGCGCGGGCGAGTCGCTGCAGCCTTCAGCCCTCACAGTCGCTGCAGGTCCGAAGTCGCTGCAGCCCCCATGGTGCCCCTCACAGTCGCTTTCAGCCCCCCAGTCTCTGCTCCTCTTCACGTGACCCAAGAGGAATGGTTTCAGGACATAGCGGTAGAGGCGACGACGACGCGCAGCGACGACGAGGCGCAGCGACGACGATGCGGCGACGACGAGGCGACGACAGGGCGACGACGAACACGCGGTGACAACGACCGTGCCAGAATGGTGCCACCGAAATGTTGCCACCGGAAATGCCGCCGTCGAAATGTCGCGACCGAAAAGTCGCCACCGAAATGTCGCCACCGAGCCGCGCCGAGGCGGGGCACGACAACGCGGCGACGACGAGGCGACCAGGAGGCGGCGACGACAACAGCCTCGCCCCCGCTCAGCACCCACGTGCTCTCACAGTCATGCAGCCCCCAGCTGCCCCAGCCTCGCTGCCCAGGCCTCATTGCTCCCCCTCACTCCGGACCAAAGAGGATGGGTGAGAATAGCAGTAGAGGTGAGGACGACGAGGCAACGACGACTACGCAACGACGACAACGCAGGCCAGTTTTCAGGTGCCCTCACAGTCGCTGCAAACTCCAGGTGCCCTCACCTCTCTGCAGCCCCCAGGTGTCCACAGAAGCTGCAGTGCCCAGGTACCCTCACAGTTGCTGCAGGCCCCAAATGCCTTCACAGAAGCTGCAGTGCCCAGGTGCCCTCACTCATCCCCCCTGACTTAACCATGGGGGGGGAGGAAAATGCAGACTACATTTTCCACACCCCTCGGGCCATGTGATCTGTAAATGTAGGATTTTCTATTCCAGCCCAGGCCCGGCTGATGCTCATGATGCTCGTCTCTGGCGGGTGCAGGTTGCTTACGCTCGTCCTCAACCCTATAAACCCTAAACCCCGAAACCCTACACCCTGAACCCTAAACTCCTCAACCCTAAACCCTAAGGCCCCAAACCCTACACCCTGAACCCTAAACTCCTCAACCCTAAACCCTAATTCCTGCACGAATGCTTGGAAAGACTTGCTGACGGTCTCAAGCAGCGGCACGGCGGAAACGAATTCTTTTTGATCGCCTGGAGGTAGAGACATCATGCATCGTGCCTTCATGCGCCCGTCCAGATTTTTCGCCACCGCCGGGCTTGACACAGTCTGTGCCTGGTTTGCATCATTGCATGTCGTCTTCCAAGAAGCCGAAACATTGCTCGCCCTCGAAGCAAAGGCGGGATTTTGCCAGAGGTGCGGCACGCAGGGAGTGGGTGCGAAGGACTGCTGCTCGCAAGCCGGCGTGCCAAAACCCCGGTGTTTCTGATGCTTCTGACATCAAGCCCGAAGAACAGATGAGGCAGGGATTTGGGGATCTGGAGCACGCCATCGCAGATGTTCTGAAGTACGGTGGGAACCCTTTCAGCTGCTACTTTCAGCAGTGGATGGGTGGTTCACCTTCGGTCAACAAGTTCAGGCAGCGTGAAATTTTCCCCCTCAGCCCTGTTCGCACGTGGTTTTTCCAGGTTGGTGAAGGTAGCATCTTGCCGGTGTCCTTGCGGCTCTTGATGCTGAATGCATGTATCGCGGGGATGAACTTCTTGGCCGCTGATTTCAGACCTGCACGTTTTTTGCAGACTACTGGGCGTCATACCGCCGCGCAGTTGGATGTCCTGCAGCACGTAGCCGGACGCGTTTGTTCGTTCTTGGAGGTGTTGAGCGAGGCCTCTTCAGGGCAGCTGTCGGTTTGCAACGCTTTTGAGCAGTTCGAGGAGCAGTCTCCCGACCGTTACCCGAAACTTCGTGCTGAAGCGGTTGATCTCCCGGCGGTCGCTGGCACCTGCGACCCTTCGCTTCTCATTCCCACTGAGCTGGCTGCTGCTATTGAGAATCCTTCGGCACTCTTTGCAAGCAGGAAAGCTGAAGTTTGGCTGCAGGGTCCTTTTCCTAAGGGCGAGAAGCTCGAGTATGTCAATCTGGTCTGGCGACAGCTGCAATGTGGCAAAACGAGGCTACGAATCCATGTCAATGCCACTGGGGGTGTATTTTGTGTGGGCAAGAGCAACGGGCGACAACGTGAAGTTTGGGACGGCTCTTTGGTTTCCGCAGGTGCTGCACGCCCTCCTGCGCCAGCTCGGCTGGCAAATCCAAGCTGCTTCGCTGACCTCCAGTTCGCTCCTGGGCAACGTGTTTATATGTCAAAGCGGGACATCCACACATGTTTTGACATTTTAC